CGGTGCCGTCTCGTCATCGTCTCGTTTTCGTCATGGAAAAAAAGGTCGTTGACGAACATATTTCGTCATAGATTTAGTCAACGAAATTAACACTAGTTGGAAGGAACACTTTGAGGAACTCCTGAACCCGACAACTCCACCCTCTATGTTAGAGAAAGAGCTGGAGTATGACGGGGGAATCAACACCAATCTCCCGGGGGGAGGTCACTGAGGTCGTCAAACAACTCCACAGTGGCAAAGCCCCGGGGTTGGATGAGATCCGCCCAGAAATGCTGAAGGCTCTGGGTGTTGAGGGACTGTCATGGTTGACACGTCTCATCACGTTGCGTGGAAGTCGGAAGCAGTACCAAAGGAGTGGCTGACCGGGGTGGTGGTTTCCCTTTTCAAAAGGGGGATCAGAGGGTGTGTGCCAATTACAGAGGCATCACACTACTCAGCCTCCCGGGGAAGTTTACTCTAAGGTACTCGAAAGGAGGGTCAGGCCGATTGTCGAACCTCAGATTGAGGAGGAACAATGCGGATTCCGTCCTGATCGTGGAACGACGGATCAGCTTTTTACTCTCGCAAGGATCCTGGAGGGGGCCTGGGAGTACGCTTATCCGGTCTACATGTGTTTTGTAGACTTGGAGAAGCGTATGACCGAGTTCCCAGGGGAGTTACTGTGGGAGGTGCTGCGGGAGTATGGGGTGAGGGGGTCTCTACTCAGGGCCATCCAATCTCTGTACTCCCAAAGCGAGAGCTGTGTCCGGGTCCTCGGCAGTAAGTCGGACCCATTTCCGCCAGGGCTGCGCTTTGTCACCAATCCTGTTTGTAATATACATGGATCGGATTTAGAGGTGTAGTCGTGGGGGAGGGGGTCTGCAGTTCGGTGGCCTAAGATTGCACCACTGCTTTTTGCAGATGATGTGGTTCTAATGGCTTCATCAGTCTGCGACCTTCAGCAGTCACTGGATCGGTTCGCAACCGAGTGTGAAGCGGCTGGATGAGGATCAGCACCTCCAAATCTGAGGCCCATGGTTCTCAGCAGGAAACCGATGGACTGTCCACTCCAAGTAGGGAATGAGTCCTTACCCCAAGTGAAGGAGTTCAAGTATCTCGGGGTCTTGTTCTCAAGTGAGGGAACAATGGAGCGTGAGATGGCCGGAGAATCGGAGCAGCGGGAGCGGTACTGCAGTCGCTTTACCGCACCGTTGTGACGAAAGGGAGCTGAGCCAGAAGGCAAAGCTCTCTGTCTACCGGGCCATTTTCATTCCTACCCTCACCTATGGTCATAAAGGATGGGGTCATGACCGAAAGAACGAGATTGCGGATACAAGCGGCCGAGATGGGTTTTTTCTCCGCAGGGTGGCTGGTTGTCTCCCTTAAGGCCCTGTCACACTGTCCCAAAATTGACACCCGATGGACCACACGAATATGGAATTGTGAATTTCGCACGAAGATGGCCCCGAACCACAACTCGTAGGCAACATTTACATTACATTTAAGACATACAACTGCAATGAAAGTACCAAAAACAATTATGTTACAGTACTATGATACTGTACTGATATCTTCAGACTTTGTTCTTTACTTTATCCGTCGTTATATGTAGAAAATATTACGTTTTCTCCGTAATGTTGTTTCGAATAACAACAACAACTTCCTGTTCAACTGTCCTTCAAAATAATATATGATATCCTTTTTAGTTTCACAGAACACAAATTGGGTATTTACATAATATATTACATGATTTTGTTGTGCAATAAAACAACCCGATGGACACACGATAAAGGAAATGTTCAAATTCGGCTGTGATCGTAGCAACATCGGGCCATTCGTGAGGGCATCTTAAGCCTTCGTATGACCGCCGGTGGAGTTTCTCAGGCTCCGGCAGCAACTTCGTGAGCGGTGGCAAAATCTTTGGCATGCCAAAAAATTGCCGAAGGACCTTGCGAAGGTTCATTTTCGTGTTGAATTTTGTGTGTAAATGTTGCCCTTCGTAAGGCCATCGTGAGGGCATCTTGTTATCATCGGTGCCATCGGGCATTCACCCCGATCAGAGTGAGGGTGAATGCACCGATGATAACACGAAGATGACACGATTTGACAAGATGCCCTCACGAGTACCTTACGAAGTTGGCCGAACACGAAGTTGCTGCCGGAGCCTGAGAAACTCCACCGGCGGTCATACGATGGCTTAAGTTGCCCTCACGAATGGCCCGATGTTGCTACGATCACAGCCGAATTTGAACATTTCCTTTATCGTGTGTCCATCGGGTGTCAATTTCGGGACAGTGTGACAGGGCCTTTAGGGATAAGGTGAGAAGTTCAGTCATCCGGAAGGGACTCGGAGTTGAACCGCTCCTCCTTCGCGTCGAAAGGAGCCAGTTGAGGTGGTTCGGGCACCTAGTTAGGATGCCACCTGGGCGCCTCCCTAGGGAGGTGTTCCAGGCACGTCCAGCTGGGAAGAGACCAAGGGGTAGACCTAGGACCAGGTGGAGGGATTATATCTCTTCGCTGGCCTGGGAGCGCCTTGGGATCCTCCAGTCAGAGCTGGCTAATGTGGCCAGGGAAAAGAAAGTTTGAGGCTCTTGCTGGAACTGCTACCCCCGCGACCCGACCACGGATAAGCGTGAGAAGATGGATGGATGGATGGAAGTTTTGTTGCATCCAAGCCTTTATCTCCTCAAGGCAGGTGTTAAAGGATGTTGATGGGAACTGTGATAATGATGGTGACAGTGAGGGTGCATGTGGGATAGGGTCTGTCTTTATATATAGCTGTGTGTCATCAGCGTAGCAATGGAATGATATTCCATGCTGGCTGATCACACGGCCAAGGGGCAGAGTGTACAGGGTGAACAGAGTGGGCCCGAGGACCGACCCTTGAGGGACACCACGGGTGACAGGGTGTGTCTGGGACCTCGCACCTCCCAAGGAGACGTACTCTGTTCTTCCAGACAGGTAGGACTGGAGCCAGCTCAGGGCGGAGTCAGAGAGTCTGATGGTGTGTTTGAGGCGCTGAAGGAGGATGTTATGGTCGACAGTGTCGAATGCTGCAGTCAGATCCAGTAGGATGAGGAGAGATGGGGAACCAGTGTCAGCCGCCATCAGCAGGTCGTTTGTGACCCTGACCAGAGCTGTTTCAGTGCTGTGGGCGGAACGGCAACCGGACTGGAATTTCTCAAAGAGGCCGTTTAGTTGGAGATGGGCCTGAAGCTGGGTGGCAACTACAATGATGTCTACCAGCATGTCATGCACTCACTGGCTGTGGCACAACAAGTAGTTTGTACAGAATAGGAAAGACAACAGCATTCACCAAACTCAAGACCCATCTCAGCGAGCTCAAAGTTCTGGCCCATTTTGGACTCTCTGCCAGCTTGGAAGAGTTTTTGCCAGTCGCAAGAGAATTGGCGCTTCTGCTATATGGAAAAAAGGAAATTGGACTGATGTGCACAAACTTGGATGAACTGAGGTTCATAATTGCATCAACAACAGATGCAGCCTCAGAAAATCTGCCGCCAACAGACGATGCATTTCAACAACATGTACAAAGAGCAATGTTCAGACAGCGATGGTGTCACACGCCCGAACCCAAACCCTTGTTATGGAGTCCTGTTGGCAAGGGGTGGATTGTCGGAGATGGGGCCATTCAACCAGGGGACACATTGACAGAATGTCAAAATGTTTCCCCTAACGTTTTCTGAGGAACCTGACATTTAACATTATATTCTAGTATCTATATACTTGACCTCTCACTGAATTATTTTGATGAATTGTATACTGTACTTTGAATTAAGGTTCCAGTTTCAATACAACCTGTACTATTTACACCTATGTTTTAGAGGCTTGCAATTTAGAACTAATACACTTTCTTGTATTGGGTTACTCTTATTCTGACTATTTGGTGATGTAGTTCAGCCACCTGGTATTTCCCTATCCAAATATAATGACCATCAGAGTGAGCATTCTTAACTTATAGGACGTTATTATGCCACTTATCCCCCATTCAGAATTTGACTGTATCAGAGAAGAGGTAGGCCTATGTCTAAAAGAAATCTCATTTGCAATAGAAACTGTACCAGATATTTCCATACAACTACTGGTTAGTATTCAATAGCACCCTAGACAATTCAGTAATGGTATATTTTTTTCAGGATTTCAAGTTTTTCTGATAAATGAGAGAAAGTGATTGAGTCCTATGTATAATAATAATAATGTCTGGCTTTGTGGGAAAAACACTTTTTAATGTTTTTAATTTATAAAGCACTAAATTATGAACTGTATTTTGAAGGTAAAAATACACGTTTTCATCTGCTGCTACTACCTACACCTTTAAAGTGATTTTAGAATACAGTCAGAATGTTAGTTTGAACCTGAATATACGGTATATGGTGCCCATATTACACCAGATATCATGTAGCCTTTCTTTTTGAGAGGAAGTTGAAAATGTAATTGTCAATGCAAATTAAATTACATTGTTTCCTTCAAATCAAAAGTCAATTTGAATCATGGAATTGGAGAATTTTGTCAAGCCTATAAGGTTAAATGTATTCTTTGGGTTAATTTTATTTGGTTTAAATGTATTTGAACCCAAACCATAAAACCAAACCAGGTAGTTTTGTTGCCTAAAACCCAATCTCTAACATGAGGGCCACCAAAGTCTGCTCAGATAATTGGTCAATACTACTCTGACTAGAAAACACCCACTAGAGTGCTTCTGATACTAAAATCCTGTCCCGTAACCTTCAGATTCTGCAGTCATATGCTGTTTCTAGAGAGACTAGCCTACACCTAAACTTGTATTTTTGTAAGCAGAAGGTTATGTTATTTCTTCTTTCCAAAGTCTCGCATTAATGCAACAATGGATGGTTAAACCAGATAAAGCAGTTTACAGAGGACCACACTTCTGGATATCCAATTGATCATTCTATGCCATGGCTTGTTCATTACAGAAAATATCTCTCTCTGAGACACATTTTGTTTTACAGTGAAATTATGAATTATGCCTTCTCTGTGTCTAGGGGCAACCACTGCTCCCTGTCTAATCTTCATCCTACCGGGCCTGTTCTACATTCGGATCATTCCCACTGACCACGAGCCCATGAACTCCAGACCAAAGATCCAGGTAGGTTGAGTTCTCTCCCTGACTGAGAAAGCCAACACAACAGTTCATGGAAGTGAAACTAGTTTGTCCTTGTGATTCTAATCTTTTGACATATTCTCTTTGGGGTTTCAGGCTGCGTGTTTCACAGCATTGGGTTTCATATTCATGACCATGAGTCTGACATTCATTGTGCTTGACTGGATGAGTGGAGAGAAGCGAAACCTCGGTGGCCATTGAAGTGCACCCCAAGCTTTAAAGCAATCCCCTCAAGTCCTTTTGATGGGAAGCCAGATGGAAACATACTGCTGAAAGGCACGGCTCTTTGGTGGGACTGTTTTTATTCATCATAAGGACAACCCATTCCTCCACAGTGATGAGAGGAGCCCAGTCTTGTTATGTAGACCACCAAGGTTCAAATATACGGCACCACCAGGATCCATCACAGGTGGTGCTCCTCTGTACAGATGAACAACATGTTGATCATGGAAGCCCCTCAACCATTAAAAACCTCAACTGAGGATAAATGTGGTGTCAAGTAACAGCAACATTCAAACATCTGTTTAATTATCAGCAAAGTTTGATAGCAAAAAAAGAATTGAATATGCAGCGTGAATTGCTTGTAGCATACCAAAACTGTATTGCTAATGTGTGTTTGTGTGTGTACCGGTATGTGTGTGTCTATATTATTTACTGTTTATCAGAGAAATGCACACACCAAATAAACAGCATAAGAGGGTGGAACCCAGTCCTTTTGTTAGTTTTCAAGCTTAATGTTTTGTATTGTTGGAAGATTTCTACTACACACTGCTGCTTCGAGCTCCAAGATGACCAATTGTTTAATGGAACATTACGATAACAGAGAGGCCAAGTCCAGAGATGCTCATGTGCAAAACTAAAAATACTTAAATTCAGGGCAAAAAGGAGGTCTGCAAACCGTAGTATAGAGTCAGAAATCAGCTCCAATCATTATCACCTGATGGGGAGAAAACCGAAGGGAGAAACAAGGCTCCAAGGAGGCAACTCCAGGAGCCTGCTCCAGAAAACAGAAACAAGAGGATACTCAGGAAAATAAACAAATAAGATAAAATGTTAATGTGACAAAAGCTGAAAAACATGTGTTGTTTATTTGATAAGAAGGTAGTTAAAGTAGTAAAGTTTATCGTTAGTGTCATATTATATTTGGATTTTAAATAGGATTTCATTTAAAAATAAACACGGATGCTTGTCAGAAATTCAGAGCTATTGAAATATGTTATTTAGTTTACCTAAAGATGTTGAGGTTCTTATTTAGTTGGCACAATCCAAGTATTAAGATTCTGAAGCTGCACTGGCAGATAGGAGGTTCTACAATTAATTTGGAAAACCTGTTCACAGACGGCTGTTGTTTCAAGACACCCCACCAAGAGGCTCCAAGTGGGTCAAAACAGCTGAGCGTAGGCTTGAGGGAGTTTGTATCAGATTTCTCCACACAGGTTGCTGGCGCCAAAAGGGGGACCCGAGAAAGCACGAGGCCGACAGCAGAGTTCGTCTGGCTGAAAGTCATCAGGACAAAGTGGCTCAACCCCAGGCTCTCCGACCCCGACCGAGTGACCCAGCGGACCTCTTATGCCGTCTGCCTGGGAGAAAAGGGGGACAGCTCGTACCACGGGAGCCAGTGTGCGGCGGGGGAAACCACCTACTAGGACCAGGCGACGACATCAGGACGGACGTGGCCCTGGCAGACGTGGACTACTCGGAAGCAGCAGACTGGAGGAGCAGGACCCTGGAGACATCTCTACAGCATCGACCCGGAAGCCGCCATCAGCGGGCCGGAGGACGAGGAGGAGGAAGACATCTCTCTAGCAGGCAGCCCAGAAGCTGCTGTCAGCGGATTGGGGGACAAAGACACGGCAAGCCAGGACGGCACAGGGGACTTTTCGAGGCAGCAGAGGAGTCTACTTCGCTCTGATCAGTTCTACCCGTGAAGGGAAAGCTGCATCTCCCCCTCCCTATTAGCTGTCCTTGTGGGCTATTCCTCCGAGGTGGGGGGGGGGGGGGGGGCGGGCTGATGATTCTAGCACTCAGCTACCCCCTCATGGTTCCTTCACTGCCATGGAAAGTGGTGTTCTGTCTCCATGAAGGTTTCAAGTACTCTAAATACCAGCTTCGGATGGATTTACGGACACAGTAGAAAAGAATGACAGTGGGTATATTTCAAAATGCCTTGTCTAAGTTTATCTCTGGAGAAGGAGATAAAAAGGGGGATTTGTAGAGTTATACTATGGATAAGCTTAAAATGAGAATAATTTGGGTAAAACTGTGAGCTGGATTTGGGGCCTGTTGACATGTGTTTTTGAGGACAAAGGAAGATGGGGGAAGGTGAGAGCATGTCCTGATTTGCATTCAACTTAGAACAAGCTACAGTGGTTGTAATATTAAGAGAGGTCCCTTGGGTTTCTCTGGTGGTTATCAATAGTAGCAGTTAAGTGAATACTGTTCAAACAATACCTGTGTTTGTGTTTTATATTGATTTCTCTGTTTTATCCTTTCATAAATGTAAGGACTACAAATGGCTATAAACATTCTGGGCTGGTTGGAGTAAACAGGGTTTTATTGCTCTGTGGGGGAGGTGTAGGTATGCAGGCCTTGAGACCTTTTGGTGGAAAGTGAGCCTGTTTGGTTTCCTGCTGGCCAGCGTTGCGTCTCCCAATGAGATGACCTGAAGAGATGACCAGCTGACCTAACACCAAACCCCTCCTTCTTACTCTGGTATATATCCGGTGGATCCCTGGCGTTCGGCCTCTTCTTCACATGCTGCCCTCGGGTGAAAGTAGCTCTGCAGTATGCGAACCAGGGCAGGAGTAAGCCGGCATTACTCCTTAAGCATTACAATATAACTGTAATATATCATGTTGTATTGTAATGATTGTATTGCATTGTCATATTGCCATTAAAGTAGAACGGTTACTTTGTAGATATGGATTCCTTCCTGTATTATAACCAGCTTCATAGGAACGCGCGGAGATTTGAAAAGCGGACCAGTTATCCCTCCAAATCTCTAACATTAGACATACATTTATAGATAGATGTTTAAAAATACAAATACAACCAGGCAGGCAAAAATAATTAAGATGTATACACATGGCACCCTGACAACCAAAAGTCTTGATATGAAACATTTATTGTGCTTAATAAGGGTTAATGGCTAACATGGCCATTAAATTGTAAGGGGTGATAGATTTATCAATTCATTGATTTAATTCAAGGACGTTTAAACTATATTTTGCCTTTTGGCCCCTTGCCCATTATTAGAGAATTTTAAAACATGTATTGCATCACTTTTACATGTTTTTAAATGTACGTTGTAACACAACTTTCCCTTCAGTATTTATCTGAAATAGCTGCCATGACATAACACATGTGTTGACCATTCACATCTCAGAGCTTCACAGGTTCATCCTAAAACCTTATTTGCCTCCTCATTTCCCTCACTTGTTTCACTTCCTTGAGTCTTAGCTTGGAAGTGAGAGATGCTAGGACAGAGGAGTCCTCCTTCACTAGAGCATCACTCTCAAACCACATCCTGTCACTGGGCTCCGATCTTAAATACACAAATGGTGTGAATGGTTTTAAATAGTTATTTATCTCTTTTTATTCAAAGGATTTCATTTGTAATAAGTCCTGAATGTGTTTCCAAGTATAAAGTTTACATTTTAATAAAAAAACAAGGTAATAATAATGATGAGGATGATGATAATGATGAAGCATTGGCTTAAAGGATCAGTCATTATGTTATTAGAGCTTGTTTTTTAAAAATGCACTTTTATATTGGATGTTGTAATTGCGTTTCTTCCAAAAAAGAAAGACAAATGTGAAGATTGTATAGGCATATTTACTGTTATCACATATTACTACTCCTACTGAGGTTCAATCAGAACGTCAGAAACTACACGTGATCTTTGACTCTGATCTTAATTTCATTAGCCATTTTAACAAAGGTCGCATTTTTTTATTTTTCCATCTGAGTAACATTGCAAAAATGAGACCACACAAGTATACAAGTCACTTTGATTATTGCAACTCTATTTTATGGTCTCCCCAAAAAGTGGATAGGATAATCATGATTAGCTCAGACTGCTGCAGCCAGGTTTTTAACCAGTACATCAAAATCAGATCACATTGCCCCTCTACTGGTAACCAGTATCTTTAAGAATTGATTTCCTTTTACTGATCTACAAAGCCTTTAATTATTTAGCACCTGCAGTGGCGGATATTGATATGGGCGACATGGGCCGTTGCCCAGGGCGGCATTTTGACTGGGGGCTGCACAAGCTCACATTTAGTTTTATCGGCAATTTGCACAAAATGTCTTATAGTGTACTGTTGTTGTGGTTGTGGGTCAAAGGGCGCACGGCCGCCCTTATGACAGCAGGCAGCTGGGATGGAAGGTCTCACACTCAAAGAAGAGCGGGGGTGATCTCCCTCAGAGAGGAGGGCGGCGGGTAAACTATCTCTATCAAATAAACACTTTCGTTGTTTATAAAGTAGTACTGCAATTAGTCAAATTAAACCTTGAAATACCACCAAATTCATTCATACAATATAAACAGTTTTGCAGATATATTTTTTCCCTGGCCTGGGTTGTATGAAACAATAGAGAATTATTTAAAAACTGACTACGGCAAATTGGTAGTCTTGACCTGTAGTTGACAGTGTTGGGGGAGGGGGAAGCTATGCACTGATTCTCGGGTCGAAAATTAATACCTACGGTGATGGAGAAAATAAGGCACAAGGCATCAGCTGCCCAGTTTAGAATGAAAAGGAAAGAAGAAGAAGAGAAACGCTCAAAAGATAAAAGGTATGTATGCCCCTGTAACATCTCATTTATTTAGTCGAGCTATTTTAAAAACCTCTTAAGCCCGATTGCCCCTTGTGCCCCTTGCATCTTGTAAGAAACAGCGTCTCAGGGCTTGTTAACATTTAACAACCTATTATTGATGCATACCCACTTAACGGGATAAACTCAGCTAACAGATGATATTAACCATTTTTACCTAAACGAAACACAATTTCCAACACCAAAGGTCTAAATTGTCTAAAACAAAAACGAGCTAACGCTACATTAGCACATAATTTGGCGATAGCAATCTTTTCTACTTCATGCTATCTGCACAAAAGTTTCACTAAATTAGCATCTATCCTGACACAGGGTACTTACTTACTTATTGTGGTTTGGATCCCTAAAGGTTCTGGGCTACTATTCCATCATTCAAGGGTGGTTTTCATTATAAATAATGTGGCTTTTTTAGGCGGAGATTAGAATTGACATTTTTTTACTGTTCAATCTGAATTTACTCTGACACAGCAACATCTATATTGATTCTGACATTTCTACAGCCGACTCACAGGTGTATCATTGCTTTGTGAAGATATACTCATTCATTCAGGGCATGTCATTTTTTAGCCTGAGGCCTGAAAAATAGGCCCAGGGCTTAACAGGTTAAGCATATCATTCAATTATTCCGGTAACCTTAACTCCACTGCTTGTTAGCTGCCTGTGTTTCGTCGTCAGTTCAGCAACTAACATTGGAATAATTTCAAACCGTCTTACTTCAGAACGATAATGTGTAGCCCTGCAATAAAAACGTTATAAACAACCACTATAACCGTATTGATTTAGTCACCTTCATTTAGCAAACACCTCAAAGGTAATTGTACTGACAAGTCCTTTGTGTAACTTTCAATACTGGAGTCTTAATTAAAAGACGTCTGT